CACATGACACAACAGTCGGTCACAGACCCTCTTTAGCAGGTGGATATTACTAAATAGTGTTATTTAATCATCATTCAACCTTTATATTGATGCTAATCTTTATCGATACTCAAATATTTTTTTGTCCATAAATTTATTACATGTATAAATACAGAAAAAAAAGAAATTACCTTAAAACTAACAATATTTATACATCAATAATATTATAATTATATTTTATTTGACATTTATTAGAATGGAAACGAAATAATCAAAAAATAATATTTACATTAAACAATAAATGCAAGTTTGATTGTACAGAAAATGAAAACATATTATTTATTATTATATTATATTCATCAGAATTAGTTATAAAAATTAATGCTCATATTAAATAAAAGTTATTTTAATAGTTATTATTAATAAATAAGAAAAGTTTTGTAGCCAATTGCACAAAATAGTTGTTATTTTTTTCAAATATTATTTTGTAATTATTTATAAATCAATAACTTTTCATAAATAAGTTAAAGAATTTTCAGAGTTTGGTCAATTGAGGTAATGTCAATTTTGAAAATCTTATTTTTCAACTTGATTTCCAAAAGTTTAATATCTCTGGATAACATGACTGTAGAATGTTTATTAACAGGTCAAAAAATGCATCTGAAAAAGTTCTTCAAATTTAATAAAATAATTAATATAATAAAAAAATCAATCCACTATCTTTATTTAGTAGAGGTGTGCAAAAAGCTCGAATAGCATGGTCGAGCTCGAGCCAGGCTCGAGTTTCAGTTACTCAAAAATATTTGAGTGCTCGAAAAATTCAAGTGCTCAAAATTATTTTAGGTTTAATACTGCACGTGTCGGATGGAATTTGGTTCAAGTTCGGATTGATTCTGCTCAGCTCTGCTAGAAAAACGAAAAGCTTGAAATACTCGATCGAGCTTTTTCCACAACTTTATTATTTAGTTATGAAATATTGAAGTTAATGTATAATGTAAATTTACATACACATACGGATGTTTCTTAAAAACATGGTTTTTGGGTTCCTAAGATCAAATTACATTGAAATAGATCAAAAAATTACAATGTAAAATATTCACCAACACAATACTTTTTTTATGAGAAAGCAATAAAGTATGGAAAAATTTTTATTTGTGACAATAATGCATGAGTAATTACAGAATAAAATAGTTGCAGCATTTTTGTGACCAAGTTCAGTATAATAATAACACGCGATCAACACAGTAACTTTCTTCATAATAATTATGATCGCATTAAATATTCGTAGGTCACATCAGAGTGTCGAGCGTATTTTGCTGCTAATGTTCTAGATTAATCGTATAATCATGACCATTATAGTACGCAAAGGAAAAATAAGTGTGGATAAAAATATTAATTTAGAGAGAGCGATTTTCTAATAAATTTTATTATATAAAAATTTAATTATTTGCAACATATTATACACTGATTCGAAAGAGAATTTCATGAACTTTCTATCTCAAAACACCCCCCGTCGATTTTTATCAAAATTATATATGAAAATAAAGCTGAACTTTTCTAGTTTCCATTCCCGTATAATATATTATAGACATTAATTTAATAGGATTAATAGGGAAAAAATTGTTTAATATATGTATTTTTGAAATAATTTAAATATTTTGTCAAATCTGGAATAATTCAGTTGTATGATTTTAAAAAATATATATTTTTAGAAAAAATTGGTGATCTAATGATAATTATTAAATATTTTTTGACACATTTTGATGTAATTTGACCTCAAAAGTCCAAAAAACGTATTTTTAAAAATTGTCCGGATGTGTGTGTGTACTAACATTACATTTTTCTCAATATCTCAGAAGCAGAAACAGCTGTAGGTTTCAATATTTTTAAATTGTAGGTGTTTCCAGGGGACATAAAATGAAAATATTTTCAGTCGGACAAGCTTTTCACTCTCTAAATCTAAAGTAGTAGAGTTCTACCAGTTCTATTAACAAATAGTAAACTTTGTAAACGGTTTTGTTTAATATAATTAAAAATTAAATACTCGTTTAAGCTCTCTTTTCATCTCGTATTTATCGAGTAGAAAAGTCATCGAATTTGATAATTTTTACAGTATAACAATTTAATTCTTTTCTTTTCTCACTACAATAAATACTTAATAACTTTATTAATGATTATATCTATAATTTTATCTATATCTATAACTAATATATATATATATATATACAGTACGAAAACCTACCACGTCAGTCATATCCCATGAGTGGGAGTGAGACAGACTTATGCGATTCCCATACTTTCCTATGACTGACGGATAGCTTTTCTTACTGTATATATATATATATAGGGGAGAGTGGTCCTAAGTTGGCCGCCTAAGCAAATTGGTTGAAAATAGTAACAAAATGAAATTTAATCACTTCGGCAAGTATATATTAGTGTTCATAGATCGTTTTGCTATAATTCTGTGGTATTTAGAACGTTATAGAATGGCTTTTGTAGTTTTAATACAATAAATAGAGAAAAGCTGCATTTTGGACATTTTGGACATTTCAGAAAACAAACAAAAACAATAGGTGGCCAACTTAGGACCACTGTAGATTTTTACAAGTTTCAAATTATTACGCTTATAAAAAAAATTTAATTAAAAAATCAACAGAACCTCTTATTACAACATTAAATAAAGGAACTAGCGCACACACTCATTTAGAAATTTTTAATTATTTATCTCTTGTAGCTGCTCTCGAAAAAACAAGAAAAATTAAATTTTTTTGGTCGTAAACAATATTATTGTCCTCACAATGCGTAGAAGAATCTTAGATTATAATTAGGTCCATAAATTATATCATGGTTTATCAATATATCATACCACAAAATTATAGATTCGTCCAGTATACCATCTCTGAGAAATGCAGGGTGGCCAACTTAGGACCACGCCCCCCTACTATATATACTTTTGTTTTGATTCGGATATGGGTATCAGAATCAAAAGTAATCTTTATTTAGTTTCGATTCAGATCACCGAATCAAAAATAAATATTGTTTATGTTCAGATTCCTATATCAAAATCAAAATTCCACTCGGTTTAGTTTTGATTCCAATATCAGAATCAAAAGTCTTTCCTTTTTAATTGTGATATAAATATCTGAATTAAAATAAAAACTTTAGATATTAAAATTATGTAATATCGAGGGAAATAATGTTTTATGTATTGATGTCATGTTGTATACACCCTAAATTTGGGCAGTAACGTTTGAAGTAGAATTTTGTTTCGTTACTGTATCAGAATCAAAATAGAAAGTGACTTTTGTTTCTATATCAGCAAACAAAACTAAAGTGGAATGGACTTTTGTTTCGTTACCAAATCAAAATCAAAATACATTAATAATTTCGTTTTGATATAAAATATAACGAAAACGAAATTCGATTTCTGTGAAGGTCCCTTATATATATTAATATATAAAATCATTTGGTGGACGACTTTTCGTCATTTCATTAGTAACTTACTACAAATTCAGATTTAGAGAGCAACGCACTAAAGATCAAGGCTCTAAACTTAAATATCAAGTCTGGGCATCTGAAATAAGTTTGGAATTCCATTTAGATGTTATCGAAATTTCCCTAACAGCATCTGGATGTTCAGGATATCCGGAAAGAAAAACTACTGTAACCGTAGGATGTCCTGAGATATCTTAAGGACATTCTAGGGATATCCAAATTTCCGGATGTGACTAGGACGTCCGTAAGATATTCTTGAATATCTATTGCTGTTTGGAGTCTTTTATGGCCGTCATTCTTTTCCGTCATTCTGTAGTATTGGCCGTTTTATCATTAATCATACAACACTTCTCAAGATCTATATTTGTACTGCTTGATTCTACGCAATAGTATTGCTACCTAATTATTTAAACATAAATGTTCAATAATTAAGAACTCTGGGGGTTGTTTAAATTAATCCGTCCATTTAATTGTTTTCAAACTCAAAATTCATTTTGATACAGGGTTTTATGTGCCACTCTCCCCTGCTGAGACAATATTTAGCAAAAGTAAAGCATTATGTAAAAACAATATAAAGCTCAGAATTAATCATGATAAAGTCAATACTTAGACAAAAGATATAAATAATATTTAGCAAAAATATTCTGTCCGTATATTATTAACATTTGAATTTTTTTACCACATTTTTTCATTAAAAAAATAAAACTTATTATGGATTTTCTATGAATTTTTTGCCTTCTAACAGTTCTAATCTAGAAATACAATCACGTATTTTTGTATATGGTGACAGAACTTTGTATATATAGTAAATATGGACAATCGATGAAAGCTAATAACTTTTTTTGAAGTCAATTAGGTATGTCGACGATTAGGAATTGTGTAGTGCAACTGTGATACAAGTAAGCATCGTGTATATATAAGGGATAATTTATAATAATAATAAGGGTTGTGACTGACCACCGACGATTGGTTACTTTTATTTACTACGTGCTAAACATTTGACCATTCGAGTTTTTAGGGTTGGTCGACACTGGTATTCTAGGGGCGGTTCATTGGAAAATTGTTGAATTACGCGCATGTCTTTGAGGGCGGATTCAAACCACCTGCTCAACGAATAGAAAATCCACAGTACTGATGATAATATATCATGTACGTGATAATATTAACACATGTGATCTAACATTTGTTTTATTTCAAACATACTGGTCGCGTTTATTACTTCAAAATCACAAGAAAACTTTTGTAATTTTTCTTTTTTAACTTTCAGAGAAAGTGAGAAAACAGTTTTTCAACTTATAAAAACGATTAAATAATCATTATTTGAATAATAATTACTTTTCAATATGACTTGGTAATTATTTTTTTTCTTTAAGAATATTTTTTCCTTTTTTGGTGTAAGAAGAAAGTGATGTATGAAACGTAAAGGCGGAAACAAGTGCTCAATGTGAAGAAAGTGCGGTTATTTAAAAATGTTGTTTTGTTTACATTCTTTGTTGACGAAGAAAATGTTTCATAGACAAAAAACATTTACAAATTAAGAGTCGATTATTAAAAATAGTTTAAAATTTGAGCGATGATTGATAAGATTTCAAATTACAGAGATTTTTAAAGAAGAAAAAAAATGAGTTCACAAACTCTTTCCAGGAATTTTTGTTCTGAAGATGCGATTTCTGGGCCATTTTCTGCATTGCATTTTCTTCGGAATTACAGTCTTCTTGCATCACCTACAGGTAAAATTTTTACATTTTTTAAAAAACGTAAATTTACTCTGTACTTTTAATTTAATTTTAAAAGAGAAAATAGATGAATAAGAATATTCTTTTGCTCTTAATTTCTTTCTTATTAAATAGAAAATAGTGTTTTTCAGATGGGACATTCTTACGAATTTTTAAAAGACAAAGGACGACGCACAAAAAGTACATAAATTGGTTCCCGGTCAAATTTGTTAATATTTATTGGTTATATTTGTTCCAAATTACTTTAAGTCAAACATAAATCCAAAACAAATTTGACCGGGAACCAGATTCTGTACTTTTTGTGCGGGGTCCTTTCTTTTGTCATTTTTTACTTTTGGAAGTAGAATTGCGCTATTGAAAATTCTTTAAAACTATTTGAACATAAAAATAGTTAATAAGGAAAATTAATTTGAATATTTACGATGTTAAAAGCAACAGAATGAAGAAAATAAGGAGAACGAAATAATTGAATTATCTAGAAAAGATAATTATATTTTATATTTCTATAATATTATAATTATAGCACATACCACATTATCTTGCTGTAGGCTTCCCTTTAGTTCTTCTGTAAAATCAAGGTAAACTTATAACAATTTTCCATAATTTCAACTCTTGGAATTTTAATTTCACTAAATAAATAATTCACCCCAAATCACATTTTTTATGAAAGAAATTTTATAAAATATTTTGTTAAATAAAATTATTTTCATGAGAAAAAATTGTTTTATGATAAAAATTATTTTATCAGGGTTGCCATAAAAATTTAATTTTGTTTTTCCCTGATTTTCAGACAAAATTTTGACAATTATTTTTAAAAAGTGTAATAATATTCGTTGTGAGAATTCAATTCATTTAAATTTAATAAAACTTTCATTATTTAAAAATAAACTCAAATAAACTTTTAAAAAGAAATTGATTCTACAGAAGTTTTAGTTTTATCTAAAATTTGAACTAAAATTCATTTTTAAATCAGTTTTTATTAGAAATTCTATTAATCAATGATGATAGATTAATTTCGATATGAATTATGATATGATATATTAATTAATGATTAATCTATTAATAAATAGAATTTATAAGAAATTTAAAATTTCGGCGCTACTTGGTTGGATTTACAACGCTCGACTCGTGGGCAGAGTGCTTACGTCACAAACCAAATTCTGACACAGAGCGTAGCATGAAGACGTCTATCGTGACGTCACAAATTGCTTTTGCTCGGAACCTGAACTGCTTTGGAGCAAGTTAACAGCCACTATTTCTCGGAGTAAGAGCATTCTCAGAGCAACATACCCGAATGTGCTTAGTAATCGTTATATGTGACACGGACAGTTAAAAGGGACCTACGGTCCAAAAAAAATCGATTTTCATTTTTTTATTGATTCTTATGGTAAATAAACCGCTCTTTCTAACGCATTAAACCGCAGCTTTTTAGCTGCATTAGTTTTTTCACAATTTCACTTCAAAGTTAGGTACTTTGACAAAAAAAATACAGCAAAATCAAATTTGACAAACTTTTCTGCAATTAATCAAATTCACTTCAAACTTGTTACTCGGGGGTTTTCAGGGTCGTTGATTACGAATCCGTTGTTAGTTTTTGAAAATTCAAAATGGCGGATGACTTTTTTAAAAATTGATCGGATTCGCTTGAAAATCGTTACTCGGGGGTTTTCGGGGTCGCTGATTACGAACCCGTTGTTAGTTTTTAAAAATTCAAAATGGCGGATCAAATATGGCGGATGACTTTTTTAAAAATTGATCGGATTCGCTTGAAAATCGTTACTCGGGGGTTTTTAGCGTCGATGATTACGAATAGAATATGATGAGTTTTTAAAAATTCAAAATGGCGGATCCAATATGACAAATGACTTTTTAAAAATTGATCGGATTCGTTTGAAATTCCTTACTCGGGGGTCTTTGGGGTTGCTAATTACGAATCTGATGTTAGTTTTTAAAAATTCAAAATGGCGGATCCAATATGGCGGACGAGTTATTTACAAATTATAGGGATTTGCTTTTCAGAATTTTTAAATGTATGGTTTTAATACAAATATGTATATGGTCTTTTAAATGAGCAAACAGAATATTCATATCTTTATTTATTTTACAAATTTACTTTAATGAAGAACACAATAAATAAAAAGACGTAAGGCAAAGAAAAGCACGATAAATAAGGACAGTATTTTATGACGCTGAAAATTACTGGATTATGCCCTGAAAAACTGATTATTATGCGAAATTATGCGTTGAAAAATTAAAAAGTGCAAATTGATGCTTTTGAAAGAAAAACGTTATTAAGGACCCAAATAAAGCTTTTAACATTATGTTAATTTTTTTAAGAAAAACCACCAACATTTTTAAATAAAGCAACTTATTCTCTATAAATATAGAGTATAGGTCATCATAAGAAATATTTTTTGCGATGACCACGGTAACAAGGAGCTGGTTTCTCAGAAATACAAAATTCAAACAAATTTAGTAAAGTAAAAGATAAAAAAATGCTGTGGGTTCTCAGCTGTAAAAAGATATTGTTTGGGGTCATCCATAAAGCATACTTAATTTCCGAAACTTTATCCCCCCCATCTTGATACTTTTTCCATTAATGATTAATATGAAGCATGATATTTTATGGGCCCCCCTACTCCTTCAAATATCACATGCTTTATGGACGACCCCTTTCTTAAAAAAAAATCATTCTATTGAGGTGAGGGGTAGATTTTTGTGTATTAAAAAAGCCTACTAAACTTAAGAAAAATCGGAGATTCAGTGCAGTAGTTTTTAAGAAATAGTGCGATCACCGATTTGCAAAATGCTGTTTTAAGAAAAACGAGTTTAAAATTTTATCATACTCTTTCATTAGACGAAATTTTGTTCCGGGCTACAGGAAGCCAGACTTAATTGAACCTTACTTTAGATCTTTAAAGCTTTATATCTCACTCAATTTTTAAAATATCAACTTATTATTTCACAAACATATGTCTGAGACCCTACCCACACAGTACCGAAACTTTCCTAAAAATTTATTAAAGATTTACTTGCAAACTTCGAAGAATTTACTTGCAAAGTTAGCTCAACATTTATTGAAGTGGGACATTTAAATCTTTGCAGAATTTTCACTAAACTTTGCAAGTAAATACTTTCAAGCTTGAAAGTAAATTTTTAGTAAATATTTAGGAAATTTTCGGTGTTGTGTGGGTAAACTTAGAAAAAATACAAGAAAAGAAAAACCGATTTTTTGAAAATTATAACTAGGATTGCCCTTTTAATTATGGATAATTAATTTTATTCATAAATTTATGATAAAACGTATTTATAAACAGATATTTCGTTAATGCAGATCTGGACTGTGAAATATTTTTATATTTCTTGCACAAAAAATATAATTATGCACAATTATGCGAGAATTCAAAAATTGTGCGATGAAAAAAAATTATGCGTTTTGATGCGACGTTAAATTTATTTTATTTTATTCATAAACATTATAATACGTAAAACTTCAAACTTTCTTTCAATTTTTGAAAATTATGCGATTATGCGCTTTGCACAAAGTGTAGGTCTCTAACGATAAAGGACTTAAGATTAAGCATTTAAAAGATTATAAACTTAAAAAATTCACAAATTAAGAATGTTTAAAAACTTTGTTCTTTAAAATTAATTCTGCATCTTTAATATTTTTTTCGTGGATTTAATTTTTGTATCTGATATATCAGTTTTTCTTTGCTTTGCCACGGTAACCAAACTCTTTTCTTTTATTTACGCGCAGTAAACATAAGCTAATACTTCAATTCTGACACTAATGACAAAATGTTAACTTTGTCCCACCACCGATGGTGTTTGTTACATAATAAATTAATAAATGCATCCTTTGAAGCTACTGCATTAAGAAAAATGTTTGGAATAAAATAACTACAAGAACAAAATAACTATGACATTTGTAAGAACAATTAAACACATCATTAATACAAATAAATACTAATTTACATAGAGATCCAGAAACCCATCTGTTTCCTAATCATCGACCCCAAAGTACCCCTAAAGTACAAATTAATATAAGAATCCAAACATTTTTTTAAACTACGTCCACTATATTGAATCCGACATTTTGAATTTCAGAAAAAGAACATCGGATTCTTAATCAGTGACCTCGTTTTCGGTAGCAACGAAATTTTTTAGTTTTACACAAATTAGAACAAATTTTAAATTTTGTCCTCCATATTGGAACCGACATTTTGAATTTTGTAAAACGAACATCGGATTTATAATCAGCAACCTCAAAAACCCCCGAGTAACGATTTTCAAGCAAATCCGATCAATTTTTAAAAATGTCATCCGCCATATTGAATCCGCCATTTAAAATTTTTAAAAACTAACATCTAATTCGTAATCAGCGACCCCAAAAACCTCAGAGTAACGATTTTCAATCGAATCCGATCAATTTTCAAAAAAGTCATCCGCCATATTGGATCTGCCATTTTGAATTTTTAAAAACTAACATCGGATTTATAATCAGCGACCCCAAAGACCTCCGAATAACGATTTTCAAGCAAATTCGATCAATTTTTAAAAAAGTCATGCGCCATATTGGATCCGCCATTTTAAATTTTTAAAAACTAACATCGGATTCGTAATCAGCGACCCCAAAAACCTCAGAGTAACGATTTTCAAGCGAATGCGATCAATTTTTTAAAAAGTCATCCTCCATATTGGATCCGCCATTTTGAATTTTTAAAAACTAACATCGAATTCGTAATCAGCGACCCCAATAACCCCCGAGTAACGAGTTTCAATTCATTACAACGTTCACAAGTATCAAAATCAACTTGATAAACTTCAAAGTCGTTTTTCTCGAAATCTTTTTTTCGGATCGTAGGCCCCTTTTAACTGTCCGTGTCACATATTATAAAAGTTAAAGAATTATTACTATTTTACGCCATGTTTAACGTAATGTTTTTGAGATGTTTATCTAACAATTTATTGGTATACAATACATAACAAAT